ATTTTCTACGAACGACTCACGCTCCAGACATACCTTGCCAGCCTGCAAGAACACCAGGATCCCACATGTGGTTTTTCGCGGTGACCGAGCCTTCGCCTTAGCAGCGGACGAAGCTGACTGGGACGAGAAGAATGTGGGACAACGCATCAGAAGAAGCCGGACCTCTTCCGTTCTGCTCCGTCGACGTTCCCATGGACGAAGATAACCCTCGCGAAAGTGTCAACGCCGAAACCTTCTACCATTTCGCTGACAACGGTTACGTAACACCTGCGACAGTCAACACCAACGAAGCAGAACGAGTAGGACCGAACTTCATACCTGATCCAGAAGCGGGAGATGAAGCAAGCTTATCCCGAGGACGTAAATCTTCTCCGTACTCACAGAGTGGACTGCAGATTCTCGGACTCGTCACCGCAGTTCACGGCACCGCCACTCCTAAAGAGCCTGCGACAGTTCAACAGGCTCTGGGGGGGGGAACATAAGGAAAACATGGCGCAAAGTCATGGACAAGGAACTGAAGGCACTGGAGGAACGCAACACGTGGAAAGTGGTTCCTATCGGCGTGGCACGGAACAAGACAGTGCTCACCGGGAAGTGGGTCTTCCGTGTGAAGACAAAGTGTTGACGGCACCATTGACAAGTTTAAAGCTCGCTGGGTTGTACGCGGGCTTCGACCAAGAACAACGGACGAGACTTCACCGAAACCTTCGCTCCGGTTAGCCGCCACACCTCACTACGCATTCTCCTCGCAATCGCCGCCATAAAGAAGAAGAAGCTGCGACAAATCGACGTCGCGAACGCGTTTCTCTACGCACCTGTTGATTGCAGAAATCTTCGTCGAGCTATCGCACGGCTCTCACAGAGAACCCAACCAAGTCTGCCAGCTTCTCAAGTCACTCTACGGCATCAAGCAAGCTCCGCGACTGTGGCAACAGTACCTGCACGCTCGCCTCATCCACATCGACTTCAAGCAACTACCGCACGATCAAGGCATGTACCGGCTCACTAAAAACGACGACTACATCCTACTAATCGTCTACGTGGACGATCTCCTTTACATCGGCTCAACTGACGGCATCACCACCTGGTTCGAAGGGGAGCTGCAACGGGATCTCACGCTCACAGTTTCATCTACCGTCACTCAGTACCTCGGCCCTCAACATCCGGGAAGAGGAGGACGCGATCTACCTCAGCGCCGAGAAATATGCTGTTATCGCCAAACGCTTCACGCTCACACCGACAGCCATCTCCACGCCATACCGATACACGGCAGGGGAACGACAAAGGAAACTCTGCTCTACTTAAGCCCGCCGGCATACGAGACTACCAGAAGAAGCTGGGATGTCTTCTCTTCGCAGCCGTCACCTGTCGCCCCGACCTCTCATACTCCGCAAGCCAGCTCGCCACCTACCTCAAGAAGCCTGAAGTAGAACATCTGGCGGAGCTCGACCGCGCTCTACACTACTTCGTCAACACCCCAACGATCGGCCTAACTTACTACAAGAACGCAACCACACCGACTAAGCTAATCGGCTACGTCGACGCTGATCACGCTAGCGACTCAGACAATAGGCGCTCTCGCACCGGCTACATCTACCGCCTCGAACCTATCGGACCTATCTCCTGGCAATCGAGCAAGCAGGAATTAATTGCTCTCTCGTCAGTTGAAGCAGAATATATTGCACTCTGCTCAGCCACCAAGGAAAGACTCTATTTTCGCGAGCTGCTGGAAGAAGCGAAGTTAGCCGAGTTACCCAACTTTACCCTGTTCTTGCAACAACCAGTCGGCAATTCGCATCGCCAACAAGAACGGCTTCGCGAACAGGACGAAGCACATCGCCGTGCGATATTTCTTCGTGAAGGACGAGATCGAGAAGGGAAGGCTCGAGCTGTCATACTGCCCCACGTCCGAGATGGCAGCTGACTACCTGACCAAGAAGCTCGGAAAGTAGAAATTCGAATACTGCATGCTGCTGACTGGACAGAGCCACATCAGCGACACTCTAGAAGCGAAGGGGAGTGTTGGAAACAATCGGTCCTAAGCGCCTCTGTCGTTTCAAAACACTAAGGCACAAGCGAAGCAAAGCATATCGAAGCACCAGCGAGTCAACCCTCGGAGGTTGAAGTAATTGCTGGAGGTTACGCGAAAGTCAAAGGTCAGCGACCTTTGACCTGACAAATACAGCGTGACAGCAAGGACACACAACTGACTCGTTACAGAGCAGTGTGCCCGAGTCGTCACTGTATCAAACCGCAACAGCAACAGTAAAGTAGTTATAACTGTGTGTTTTCATATTCCCTATATTTATATATAATCTTGTATCTCTTTGCTTTAATCAACTTACTTTGCCCTCACATACTAGCGCAAGGTGGTACGCAACTCTTTATTAACGCTTCTGCTACTACACCAACTCTACCCAGAGTTCACCCCTGCAAAGATCCTAAGGGCTTTTTCAGCCCAACAATTCATACCATTACAACATGCTAAGGTACGGGTATGATAACTTGCAGAGTTAGCAAGGGGCCAGACATATAATACAACAACGTGCCACACGGCATTCCTCATGCATGCAGCCGTGGCTTGGATTGGATCCATAACCACCAGCAGCAGCAGCAGCAGCAGCCAGCAGCAGCAGCAGCAGCAGCGACATACTGTATTCACTTCTGCCTCCAACGCGTGCCTTACAGCACACACACACGGTTATCTACCGTAAGACGCCTCAAAACTAGCAACAGCACAAGGACCCCCAGACCAGATCAGAAGGTCCTCAGGCGACCCAACGATCTCCCACCCACCCAGCCTACGGTACTGCCAAAGCACCCTGGCCCAAAGAGCACCGCACGTGCAGTCTGAGCGCAAAGAGCACTGCACCGCACGTGCTGCTGGGTGCCTTCTGAATCGACACACAAGCCAGTCAGTCGCTGGTTGATTTTGCACCGGCAGCCTTGCTGGTGGTTCAGTCTCACTTCTTCTCCCTCCCCTTGGGTTTCTTCACACACGACTGCTTATCAGCTGTCTGCACATACCCACTCTCACACAAACAGTTTGGGTCCACCCCCACCCCCACCCTCCCCCTCCCCCATCTCTCCCCTCTTGGCAAACCAGGTGACTCCTGAGTCGAGTTACGTGGAAGACACCTGGCAGTTACGGTAGGCCTCACTTCCTCTTCCGCCCCTTGGGTTTCTTCACGCAGGACTGCTTGTCAGCTGTCTGAACATACCCTGCGTCACACAAACAGTTCGGGTCCACCCCCCTTGGCAAACCAGCATGCCCCGTGCCCCCCGCACGGGTTCTCCCCTGCGTTGCAAAACCTCTTGCACGTGCTGGCAGCAACCTGGGTCTGCACCCTCCCGGCCTGGTAGCACGCGGAGGTGGTGGGGTATGTGAGGCAGGTTGTATGCAATGGAAGACTGGTAGAAGATGCCTCGGCGGGTCTGGTCTTGAGGGCAGGAGGGTGACGCCGCCGGCAGTGACAGAGGCAGGACCGTAGAAGAAGTTGTGGTGCAGGTTGTATTGGCCGGCTGACAGGATGGTGCCGTTCTTGAAGCCGGTTGGCAGTGGACCGGACAGCATGTTGTCGTGTAGGTTGCTGCGATGGGGTGAGGAGGAAGGGGGAAGGGGAGATGGTGGATGGGAGTTTGCCAGAGGATTGGTGGTGCAGGCTGGCTGAGTGGAGAGATTATGTGCAGAAGAGTGAAGGGAGAGTGGAGAGGAGGAGGGAGAGAGAGAGAGAGAGAGAGAGAGAGAGAGAGAGAGAGAGAGAGAGAGAGAGAGAGAGAGTGCTAGAAGGGGAAAGGGAGGACTGCTACTCACCACGCTCTGCGGGATTGAGATAGCAAACTTAGGGGCTGATGCGGGTCTTTACGGTGCACAAAGAGACGTATGCCCTACTCTCTGGTTGAAAACCTTAAGGCGGATGTCACCATCCGTCATCCCCTGACTGGAGAGGTGTGGATGTGCAACGTGACCGTAACGGACCCGGTGTCTTACCAGAACGAGAACTGCAACCGTGCTCCGGGATGGGCGGCTAGGGCGGCAGCAGCTAGGAAGGAGGAGAAGTACGCTCGCAGGAACGCGTGGGTGGGGTTCCACTGCGCTTGCAGTGGAGACTTACGGATACCCCTCACCAGGGGTGATGGCTTGCCTGCGGCAATGCGCGGATTTGGCGGCAAAGCTGCGGTTTAACGCCAGCACCAACCTCTTACGAAGCAGCTAAGCTGCTGACAGAGTACCGCCACGCGCTGGAGCATGTGCCTCCAGCGGGCGCAGGCCAATGCCCTCCGCACCAAGACCAACGAGGCCTTGGCGGCGGACGAGCTTGGCTTTCGGGGGTCCCATCATCCCTCCGCAGTGAGGGACAGCTGCACCAGCTGATTGAGGCCCCGTTCGACCAGTAGGGTCGGACAGAGGGGGGGGGCAGAGTAGGTAGGGGACTTGGAATAGTTAGGATGCCGGTTTTCTGTTGAGCTTGTGCTTGTGTGTTTTGCACCTTCCGTTGTACCACCACCCCAAAGAAATGCAAGGACCATTCGAGAGAGAGAGAGAGAGAGAGAGAGAGAGAGAGAGAGAGAGAGAGAGAGAGAGAGAGAGAGAGAGAGAGAGAGAGAGAGAAAGAGAGAGAGGAGAGAAGTGAAGTGAGCGTACAGCAGAGTGAGCTTACAGAAGGTTTAGTTTGGGCAGAGAGAGGATGCCTCGAGGGAGGGAGCCAGAGAGATCGTTGCTCTCCAGGTAGCTGCGAGGGGGGAGATGGGAGAGGGTGGGGGAAGACACGTGAACGAAAAAAAGTGTTTTGAGACATCTCAGAACACGCCTCGAGAAAGGGAGCCATAGAAATCGTTGCTCTCCAGGTAGCTGATAGAAGATGGGGGAAGGTGGTTGGGAGGATTGTGGATGACTTTTGAGTCGACTCAAAAAGAGCGTGGGGGGAAGGTGGTTGGGAGGATTGTGGAAGTCGACTCAAAAGAGCGTGGGGGAAGTCGGTTGGGAGGATTGTGGATGACTATGGCGTGAACATAAGCGTTGCTGTCCAGGTAGCTGCGAAGGTGGGAAGGCAGAAGAGCGTTGGAGAAGGTGGGAGAGCATTGGAGAAGCGGGAGAGGGCAGCAGGAAGGCGGGAGAGGGCAGCAGGAAGGCGGGAGAGGGCAGCAGGAAGGCGGGAGTGGGCAGCAGGAAGGCGGGAGTGGGCAGCAGGAAGGCGGGAGGTGGGCAGCAGGAAGGCGGGAGTGGGTGGTGGGAAGGCGGGAGTGGGTGGCAGGAAGGCGGGAGTGGGGTGGCGGGAAGGCGGGAGTGGGTGGCGGGAAGGCGGGAGTGGGTGGCGGGAAGGCGGGAGTGGGTGGCGGGAAGGGCGGGAGTGGGTGGTGGGAAGGCGGGAGTGGGTGGCGGGAAGGCGGGAGTGGGTGGCGGGGAAGGTGGCAGGCGAGTGAGTGAATATGGTGTGAAGATAATATTCTGCTTTGGGATAAGATATGGTGTAGAGGTTAGAAATGCGGTGTAAGACATTGGGACAGAGCGAGCATGGCAAGAGGCAGCATGGCAAGAGGCAGCATGGCAAGAGGCAGCATGGCAAGAGGCAGCATGGCAAGAGGCAGCATGGCACGAGACAGCATGGCATGAGGCACAGCAGTGCACTGGTGACTTAATGGAGCAAGCCGGCAGAGGAGGGATTCACAGCACAGTGAGCTCCTTGAGGGGACTGATGACATCCAGGCATAGGGCAGCATGGGATCACACCACTAACACCTTGAAGCATAGGGGCAGCATGGGATCACACCACTAACACCTTGAAGCATAGGGGCAGCATGGGATCACACCACTAACACCTTGAAGCATAGGGGCAGCATGGGATCACACCACTAACACCTTGAAGCATAGGGGCAGCATGGGATCACACCACTAACACCTTGAAGCATAGGGGCAGCATGGGATCACACCACTAACACCTTGAAGCATAGGGGCAGCATGGGATCACACCACTAACACCTTGAAGCATAGGGGCAGCATGGGATCACACCACTAACACCTTGAAGCATAGGGGCAGCATGGATCACACCACTAACACCTTGAAGCATAGGGGCAGCATGGGATCACACCACTAACACCTTGAAGCATAGGGGCAGCATGGGATCACACCACTAACACCTTGAAGCATAGGGGCAGCATGGGATCACACCACTAACACCTTGAAGCATAGGGACACCTTGATCACATCATGCAGCAAAGCAGGGCAGGCACTCACAGCACGGTGAGCTCTTTGAGGCACTCACAGCACGGTGAGCTCTTTGAGGCACTCACAGCACGGTGAGCTCTTTGAGGCACTCACAGCACGGTGAGCTCTTTGAGGCACTCACAGCACGGTGAGCTCTTTGAGGCACTCACAGCACGGTGAGCTCTTTGAGGCACTCACAGCACGGTGAGCTCTTTGAGGCACTCACAGCACGGTGAGCTCTTTGAGGCACTCACAGCACGGTGAGCTCTTTGAGGCACTCACAGCACGGTGAGCTCTTTGAGGCACTCACAGCACGGTGAGCTCTTTGAGGCACTCACAGCACGGTGAGCTCTTTGAGGCACTCACAGCACGGTGAGCTCTTTGAGGCACTCACAGCACGGTGAGCTCTTTGAGGCACTCACAGCGCGGTGAGCTCTTTGAGGCACTCACAGCACGGTGAGCTCTTTGAGGCACTCACAGCACGGTGAGCTCTTTGAGGCAACTCACAGCACGGTGAGCTCTTTGAGACGGCTGATGCCGTCCGGGATGGTGCCCGTGAGCTGACCGTTGTCCAACAGACTGAGGGGCGCAAGGGGGGAGGGGGAAGGGGAGGTGGGGAGGGGGGAGGGGGAAGGGGTGGACGGGGAAGGGGGTAGGGAAAAAAGGGATGTAACCGTTAAAAGGGCCCAACGCAGCCCGAAGCCCAACGCTGCTTGAGGTAGAGAGCGGCAGTTCTGCAGAATGGTGAGCAGAAAAAGGTCTTGTCGTGGCATGGCATGTCATGGCGTGGCATGGCATGCATGGTATGATCTAATGTGACGGATCTAATGTGACGAATGAAACACGGCGAGCTTAGTAAGGTGCATGTCTGCATGCCACCACGGTGCCACACGTTGCTACACGGTGCCACACGGTGCCACACGTTGCTACACGGTGCCACACGGTGCCACACGTTGCTACACAGTGCCACACGGTGCCACACATTGCTACACGGTGCGTACATGCGTGAGAGTTTGGTGAGCTTGGAGATGGTTGCAGGGATGGTGCCGTTGAGAGGGGCAAACTCAGACACCCTGCGGTGAGGAGCGGTGGGGAAGGGTGTGAGGGGGGAGAAAGGAGCAAGAGGAGAGAAGAAGCTTGAAGAGAAGTAAAGATGGGTAAGAAGATACAGGCTGTGTGAAAGTAGCATGCAATAGCAGCAGCAGTGCTGAAAACCTGTGATACGGCAAGGAGCGGGTGAGGAGCAGTGAGGAGCGATGAGGGGCGGTGAGGAGGGGTGAGGAGGGGTGAGAAGGCGAGCACGTATAGGTCGGTGAGGCTCTTCATGTTGCCAGGTTGGCCGTGAGGAGTGGTGAAGAACGGTCAGGACCGGTGCTGACAAGGGACTTACAGGTCGGTAAGGCTCTTCATGTTGCCCAGGTTGGCCGGCAGAGTGCTTTGCAGATAGGGGTTGCTGCTTATGAAGCTGATTAGTAGGGGAGGGGGGGGGGGGGTGGGAGGTAAAGAGAAAGAGAGGAGAGGGAGGTGCGTCTATGGACGTTGGGGGCTTACAGGAAACACGTTGGGGGGCTTACAGGAAACACGTTGGGGGGCTTACAGGAAACAAGTAAATGGACAGACGCGAGCAGAGATAAGAGGATGGGAAGAGGGAGGTGGGGGCTGAGAGGATGGGCAGAGGTGGGTGGGGCTGAGAGGTTGGGCAGAGACGGGTAGGCGGGGTGGGGCTGAGAGGTTGGGCAGAGACGGGTAGGCGGGGTGGGGCTGAGAGGTTGGGCAGAGACGGGTAGGCGGGGTGGGGCTGAGAGGTTGGGCAGAGACGGGTAGGCGGGGTGGGGCTGAGAGGTTGGGCAGAGACGGGTAGGCGGGGTGGGGCTGAGAGGTTGGCAGAGACGGGTAGGCGGGGTGGGCTGAGAGGTTGGGCAGAGACGGGTAGGCGGGGTGGGGCTGAGAGGTTGGGCAGAGACGGGTAGGCGGGGTGGGGGCTGAGACGGGTAGGCGGGGTGGGGCTGAGACGGGTAGGCGGGGTGGGGCTGAGACGGGTAGGCGGGGTGGGGCTGAGACGGGTAGGCGGGTGGGGCAGGACGGGTGCGGGGTGGGCTCACAGGATGGCGGGGTGGGGCTCACAGGATGTTGAGGTTGGTGAGACGCGTTGAGGGTGATGGGGAGTGGACCGATGTGAAGCTGTTCTGATTGATGAAGCTGCACGGAGGGAGGAAAAGTTGGGGAAGAGAGGGGCGAGAAGGGGGGAGAGAGGTGGAGAGAGAGTGAGAAGGGGAGCGGATGGTGGAGGCATGGTGATAGGCATGGTGGGAGGCATGGTGGGAGGCCATGGTGGGAAGGAGGCATGGTGGGAAGGAGGCATGGTGGGAGGCATGGTGGGAGGCATGGTGGGAGGCATGGTGGGAAGGAGGCATGGTGGGAGGCATGGTGGGAAGGAGGCATGGTGGGAGGCATGGTGGGAGGCATGGTGGGAGGCATGGTGGGAGGTGAAGCCCGAAACCCCCCACCGTACAGGTTGGTGAGTGCCCCACGTGCGTAAACATGCACCCCCCCCGTACAGCACATGCCCATGTGCACATGCCCAGAACCCCCACGTACAGGTTGGTGAGCGGCATGATGGTGCCGATGCTGGATGGCAGCACGCCGTCAAACTTGTTCGTGTCGATGTACCTGGTCGGGTGGGGGGAAGGAGAGGAGAGGAAGGGCGGAGGGGCGGAGGAGCACGGGGTTAGCGCGTGGCAAGTGTCGGTGTATTTTGCGGGGGAGGGGGACGGAGTGGTGTGGTGGAGTAAGCGAGAAACGCATGGAGAGGGGCACGGCGCATGAGCGGAGTGGTGTGGTGGAGTAAGCGAGAGACGCATGGAGAGGGGCACGGCGCATGAGCGGAGTGGTGTGGTGGAGTAAGCGAGAGACGCATGGAGAGGGGCACGGCACATGAGCGGAGTGGGTGTGGTGGAGTAAGCGAGAGACGCATAGAGAGGGGCACGGCACATGAGCGGAGTGGTGTGGTGGAGTAAGCGAGAGACGCATGGAGAGGGGCACGGCACATGAGCGGAGTGGTGTGGTGGAGTAAGAGAGAGACGCATGGAGAGGGGCACGGCGCATGAGCGGAGTGGTGTGGTGGAGTAAGCGAGAGACGCATGGAGAGGGGCACGGCGCATTGAGCGGAGTGTGGTGGTGGAGTAAGCGAGAGACGCATGGAGAGGGGCACGGCGCATGAGCGGAGTGGTGTGGTGGAAGCCTGAAACGACACAAGTTGGTTTGGTGAGTGGAAGGTGGGCCGGGGAGATGACTGTGCAGAGGTGGTTGCAGCATGGTGCAGGGTGGTGGAGTGTGGTGCAGATGTACGTTGAGCTCACATGTAGTTGAGGTTCTTGAGCCGGCCGAGGCAGCTTGACACGGGCCCTGTGAAGCGATTGGCGCTCAGGCGCCTGGAGGGGAGGGGGGGAGAAGAGGGGAGGGGAGGGGGGGAGAAGAGGGGAGGGGAGGGGGGGAGGGGGGGGGTTTGAGGTGGGGCGAACGAGATGAGACTGGTCATGGTGTGCACACGACAGTGGAAGAAGGGTGGAGTTGAGCAGATTGGCACGTGATGATGGTATTGTCATGGAGTTCGCGTCAAGTAAAGCATATAATCACGGAACTCACAGCTGGCGCAGGTTGGTCATGGTGCAGACTACAGTGGGGAAAGTGGAGTTGAGCAGATTGCTGGGTACATAGCTGCCATGAATGGCGGAACACGGGGTGAGAAGAGTGGTGTGGTGAGGAGCGGGGGGTGAGGAGGAGGGATTAGAAAACCAGAAGATATGGAGTTGAGCAGGTGGTTGGGTTGGGTACGTAGCTGCCATGCGTGGGTGTGAGAAGAGCGTGCAGCATGGTACATGACAGCGCGGGGGACTGGGGGAAGGCAAGCCTCATGCACATGCACACACGGCATGGGCGTGGAGAGAAGGTGACAATTCTTGCATGGTGACGAGGTTGGAGAAGGTGTCTGGTATGCCTCCCGTGAGAGCAATGCACACGGCACAGTCACACATGGCAGGGCATGGCATGGGCGCGCAGAAACTGACAATTTCTGCATGTTGACGAGGTTGGAGAAGGTGTCTGGTATGCCTCCCGTGAGGTAGTTGAGGTTCAGATGCCTGCGAGCCATGCAGCCGTGCACGCACACACAGGCACACACGGGCACAGGGGCACAAACACGGCATGCACACAGGGGCACACGCACAGAAGAACAGAGAGTCACACACGCAAACAGGGACAGGGCGAGAGGGAGCAACGATGGCGAGAGGGAAGCAACGATGGCGAGAGGGAGCAACGATGGCGAGAGGGAGCAACGATGGCGAGAGGGAGCAGCGATGGCGAGAGGGAGCAGCGATGGCAAGAGGGAGCAACGATGGCGAGAGGGAGCAGCGATGGCAAGAGGGAGCAGCGATGGCAAGAGGGAGCAACGATGGCGAGAGGGAGCAACGATGGCGAGAGGGAGCAACGATGGCAAGAGGGAGCAGCGAGGCGAGAGGGAGCAGCGATGGCGAGAGGGAGCAACGATGGCGAGAGGGAGCAACGATGGCGAGAGGGAGCAGCGATGGCGAGAGGGAGCAACGATGGCGAGAGGGAGCAACGATGGCGAGAGGGAGCAACGATGGCGAGAGGGAGCAACGATGGCGAGAGGGAGCAACGATGGCGAGAGGGAGCAACGATGGCGAGAGCAGTGGGTTTATAGTATGAACGGCAGTACATAAACGATGGATTTTTAGATGAACAGCAGTTCATAAACGATGGATTTATAGATGAACGACAGTTCTAAAGGATGGATTTACAGATGAACAGCAGTTCATAAACGATGGATTTATAGATGAATGGCAGTTCATAAACGATGGATTTATAGATGAACGGCAATTCATAAACGATGGATTTATAGATGAACGGCAGTTCATAAACAATGGATTTATAGATGAACGAGCCATGCTCCCAGCCGTTCAAACGAAGGATTAGAGACTGGACGCCAGCACTCACAGCTGGTACAGTTAGTCATGCCAATCGCCCCCCGCTACAGTCACATCACTATAACCCCCCCCCCCCTTTATACTCACAGCTGATACAGGCTGGTCATGCGGCCCATGGAAGCTGGGATGGTGCCGTTGAGAAAGTTCTGATACAGCTGCCTGTGAGGGGAGGGGGAGAGAGAGGGAGGGGGGAAGGGGAAGAGGGGAGGATGGGAGACCATGGAAGCAGGGATGGTGCCGTTGAGAAAGTTCTGATACAGCTGCCTGTAGGGGGGAGGTGGGGAAGCGGGGGGAGAGGGGGGAAGGGGGTGAGGGGGGAAAGGAAAGGGACAGAGGAAGGGGGGAAGGGGACAAATACGTGTGAGAGGAAAGGGGAGGGGGCACGGGGAGCGCCGTGAGGGAGTAGGATGCTTGCCTTACCATTCATCTTGCATGCTTGTATGCATAGTGACTATTAATACAAAGGACCATTCGACGAAACGTGAGGGAAAGGGTTTGGAGTGAAGCAAAGGAGAGGGGAGGGCAAGGGGGGGCGGCAAACGGTACAGCGGGCAGGGCGAGCAGGGCCAGCGGGAAGTGCGGGGCGAGCGGGGAGTGCGGGGCGAGCGGGGCAGGGCGGGGCGTACAGGGCAGTGAGAGGCACTGACAGGTTCTTGAGTTTGACGAGGTTGCTGAAGGAGTTGGGTATGTCGCCATAGATCCAATTCTTCACCGCGAAGCTGATGAGGATGGGAAGGGGAGAACAGAGAATGGGATGGGTGCGCGCGAGAGGGAATGTCGCCGTAGGTCCGATTCTTGGCCGCGAGCTGATTCCTCGGGGCAACACGCAGAGGGCAGCACACCAGAGGCGAGAATATGGTCACGCACGAGAGGAAAAGACAGCAGTGAGAAGGCATGGGTGCATGTGATGGGACAGTGGAGAGGCACGGAGGCACATTAAGAAGCGGCGGCGGATGGCGGCCGCGGATGTGGCGAGAACGGCGGAAGCGGGACTTACAATTCCTCCATCTGGGTAAGCGAGGTGACTTTTGAGTCGACTCAGAAGCGGGACTCACAATTCCTCCATCTGGGTAAGCGCGCCGATGGCGGAGGGCAGCGTGGCGAAGAGCTCCTGGTAACTCATCTCATGCGACGGATGTAGCCGTTCGTCCAGCACTGCACGAGCTGCCACGTGGCGCACGGATTGGTCGCCACCCAAGTGGACAGATCCGCTGTCTTTCCCCACACGGCCTTGAGCTCCATCATCGGCGCGACTGGCGGACGGGGAGGGGGGGGAGGGGGGGAGGGGGGGGGGGAAGGGAGGGAAGGAAGGGGGGGGAGAGGGGAGGTAGGGGCAGAGAGTTGGAGGGAGAATTCGTCGCGACCCACGTGGACCAATCAGCAGTCTTGCCCCACACCGCCTTGAGCTCCATCATCGGCGCGACTGGCGGGGGGGGATGGGAGGGAAGACGAGAGGAGGAAAGGAGGAGGGCGAGAACAAAGGGAGGAGGACGAAGGCATGAAATGCGACCGAGAGGGAGCGAGGCGGGGAGAGATGCGGAGAATAGATGAGGGACGGATGGAGGGGCGGATGGAGGGGAAGAAGAGCGCGAGCGGTAAGCGCGGGAAGAGCGGTAAGCGCGGGAAGAGCGACCGTCCTACTCTGAGAGCTGTGCACGTAGACGGGAAGAGCAGTGAGTGTGACAATAAGTCGAAGAGACAGTGGGTAAGTCGACTGTAAAGAGCAGCCGTCTTACTCTGAGAGCTGTGCACGTAGACGGGAAGAGCAGTGAGTGTGACAATAAGTCGAAGAGACAGTGGGTAAGTCGACTGTAAAGAGCAGCCGTCTTACTCTGAGAGCTGTTGCACGTAGACGGGCGTTCCCTTGGGAGTCACTTCACTCGTCGACACCCTCCCCTTCCCCCACTCCCTCCGCCGCCTCCTCCTCCGCTATAAAGTCTTCTACAGGCTCCTCCATTGCTGCTACTATCGAGTCCACGTATGTCGGGTCCGTCACGATTGGCCGCGTGTCCCGCTTCGGGACTTGCAGCCCGGGTGGTGGTTTGGATTCACGTGTGTCTGTCAGCAGTCCGTCTATGATTGACTGACGGCTGGAAGGGTTGACGGATTCTGGCAGCGGGTCAGTCAAGTAAACGGTTTCCGTTTCGGAGGATGGCGAAGGGGCGGGTGCCGGCGCAACGCGAATGGCGATTGCTGGCGACGTGAGTAGGGAAACAAGCGCGGCGAAGAGAACTAACTGACGCAGGGTAACCAGACTTCGCGAAGTGCGCGACAATCGTCGCCATGCCTAGATGCACGAAATGGGCATGCGACGTTCGCAAAACTCGTTCCCGCTGTTCTCCACAGACCGTGTTGCTCTTTCGCTTAAATCCGCCGCTCGTGACGGCACTCACTAACCGTTACGCAGGTCAGCAAGAGTGTCGTTCTCCTTTGATCTGATCTCAAAGCGAGGCGACAGATTTGATCCCAAGCCCTCTGTTTCTCAATGCTCCGGCTTCTGCGACTCTGTTTGAAACCACTTCTAGCGCGCACGCAAAGGGTCGGCAAGCGGAGGGACACGCGGGACGGCTACTGGCGCACTAGAGAGGACTACTATAACAATGCGTGCTTTTTCTAGTCGACTCAAAAATCAACGGAAGGACTATCCCTGTGCTTTCGAGATTGTCGATTGAGTGAATGCATATATGATCGGCTGATGGTATGCAGGTGTACGCGGGAAGGAAAGTAGGTGCGATACTAGCAAGGATGGCCAAGCCGCGGGCGGCAGATCCGCTTTGAGGAGCTATCTCGTGCACTATCGCGAAGATGCGTATAGCGAGAACTTCTGATAAAGTCGGTGCGTGAGGATGGAAGGTAAGCGTATGCCACCTTCCCCTTCCCAAATGTGTACGCGCAGCGCAACCTCAAGGCGGCTGGTGGCGCGAATTGGTTGTTTGCAACCAGGGCTGTCGATATCCCTGGGGGCAGAACTTGAGGCCCCCAGCTGCTGAGATTCTGACCCTGATTTTCAGGGAGGGTGACCGAATTTTCGCCCTTAACGGTCACGGGTGCAGGCCGAAGTGTACCTTGAAATCCGGGCTCCAATGTGTTGTGTACTTAACTAACCTAAACAGCATCATAGACAAGAAAATCACATACTTCTCACTACTAACTACTCCAGTCAACCTGTATGTCACAACTTCCAACTACAACTACAGTTGCACTACCTACTGTATTTCTACTCATCTCCTGACTTCGACACTACACAAACACTAGATTGGATTAAAATCGAGTGAAACATCCTTACCTGTAGCCCTATTGTGCAACTTTCATGGAGAGGGGGGGTAGAGGAGGGGGGTGTTAGGCAAGATTTTAGGGGGTGGTCTGCGGAACCGAAAGTAGAACTTAGATTCAGGGGATGGCCCAGATTGAGCACTTAACGCGTCCGGGGAAGGGCCAAACGATGCCCTTAACTAGCATGGGTGCTAGTCTAATAAAGCCCTTAAAATGGTCGAGATGCGCCGAACATAGCCCAGAATGTTCAGGGCATTAAGGGCAAATGCCCTTGAATCGACAGTCCTGTTTGCAACCCCCACCCTCCCCTCATCCCCGCGCGAGGGCCAGAAATCAGTGCGGCTGGTTGGTGGATGTGGCTTGGTTGCGGGGCGGGCTGAATGGGGCGAGATCGACGGCGGAAAAGAGGAACTTCAGGAGAAATTGCTGATGGTTGTTCTGGGTGCAGTCAGCCCGTCACCTGCGTCATCTTTTTGTTGTGGCGCGCTTTGTCACGCTAGTTGTGATTGGTTGGTGATGCTCGGCCAACGCTGCGACGCGTCAACATGATGAGCATCATGATGTGTTTTCCGCACCAACACTGCACCGTGCTCCCTGTCCTACCTCCACACCGCCCGCTGCACCGTCGGAAACGCATGTAGCGCAACATGCGCTGTGCTGCCGAGCAGTTGGAATATATTTCACGTCGGTGCTGTTCGGTCTGTTGCTCAGTTGTTTTGTTGTACACAGGAAGCGCGTTTGACTCTTACAGCTTTTCCCGTCATTTGAGTGTTTGATGAGCAGCTTGTTTCGCTTCCTCGCCAACATTCGCCACGGGAAAAATCGGGACTGTAGTGGGCAGGTGAATAAATGTAACCAGCTTCTTCAAAATATCTCGCGAACGGACGGATGCCAGCGTGATAAGCTGCCTGTTCAACGGCTCCTGCGATCAAAATAGGGCCTGTATTGTGCGTGCAGCTGGCTAGTACTACTTGCAATTGGCAGGCTGTCGAGCTTGGACAACCAAATTTGCGTGCAGTTGTTGAGCATCCTACCATTGTCTTCAGTCATGCCTGTCGATTCACGGACATTTGTCCGTTTTCCCTGAGAATTCAGGGTTAGTTTCAGCTCAGCTCAGAGATTTTCAGGGCTGGTTTTTTTCCCAGCCTGGATTTTTAGCGGACAGATTTTGGGGCTCCCCGGATTTCCGTACCTGCCACCCCCCTTCCCCTCACCCCCTCTCTTCCTCACCTTAGACCGCGAACTTGTCCTCCTCCCACTCCCCCCAACAACACCAGCCCCCCATGTCCCACTAACGTATGCTGCTCCTTAGTGTGGTGTAGCTCGATAACTTAGCTTTATTCTCAGAGCCGGAAATATGAATGCCCTGATTTTACGACCGCTTCCCGGATAGCTCAGGTTTGTTTTCGAGACAGCTCAACTTCTTACGGTTTTGGACCCAGACCAATCGACAGCCCTGGT